AATATAATATTAATATATATTTTATCATTGAAAAATACCAAATGTAGATGCATGCCTAAAATATTAATGTATAATTCTAATCCTAAATATTCAATCATTTCATCACAAGGTATTTGGTATATGTTAACACATTTCACCATATAAATCTTAAAATTATCCAATTTCGATCTCACAAGTAACATATATATATATACATACGTTTATCGAACTACAATTGAACGTATCCCTTATCTAACATAGTCGCGATAATTAACACCTGAATGATCACAATCTATTCGTGATTCAATCGATGATTACGTAAAATAAAAAACAAAATTAACGAAAAATAAAAAAAGAAAAAAAAAAGAAAAGAGAAGGAAAAAAAAGGACAGAGTGATACGATAAAAATGTGTTAATCGATACTTCGATTAGATTATAAATTGGAAAATTTAATGAATTCTTTTTCGCGTAAATAAAATTAAAACAACAACAAAAAAATATACAATAATGAATTGTATTGAATACAAAATGAGACACTCCTGTAAGGACGAGGTACGAGGGTCCTTGATCATCGATTTATCCAATGATAGATTTTACCTGTTAAAAGATACGAGGGTGCAGCCACGCGCATGCGTTTAAAGAATGATAGGAAAAAGAAAAAAAAGAAAAAAAAAAGAAACAAATGTCGCGTGAGAATACCATATGGAGGAAAGTAATGATAAATGAACCTAATTAGCTTAATTTATTTTACACTTCGATGTACGTTACTACTACTACTACAAAAATCTTTTTTTTTTATTAATGTCAATATTATTATCAAATGTAAAAAAAAAATGTTCGTTTCGTCTGTCTACCTCCACCCATCACCCTCCACCTCCTCTCTTTCGAGTGTTTACTATTCTAGATAAGTATTAACCAAGTTTAAGAGAGAATATATATATATATATATGTATATATATGTGTGTGTATCGTAGTATATGAGAAAAATCAATAATTTAGATGAATTTTAAGTAATGACCGAATTTTTATGGTAAATATATATTTTTCAATATATATATTAATATTATATTTATTATTAAATTATTATAATCATTGCTATCATCGTCATAATTATTGTTATTGTTATTATTAGTATTATTATTATTATTATTATTATTAAATAGTAAACTTTTATTAAGAAACGATCGATCGAAATTCCAGATTCTAATCTATGCCACTTCACGATATGAACGATAAGTCAAAGAGAATAAATGATGGTTATAATAAATATCTCATTTATCTTCTTTTCTTTTTTTTTTTTTTCTGATATCGTTGCTTATTTCCCCTACTCTTTAATAATAATAATAATAATAATTTTTCCACGAAAGAAAAATTTAATTAAACAACGAAAATTCAATATTTTAATTACGTTCTATCGTTTTCTCTTACGAATTACAATTAATAGTAGAAATATTTGTTCGTTTGGTTAATTTTTAATCATTGATATTAATTTGAGATATCGTGAAAATGATCGTGATCGTAAAAATGATTATTATATAAAATAATAATGCGTTATCGTGTATATTTTGTGTCGTTTGAATATTCTTTGGTTGTGTGTTATACGTTGATTGGTTGATTGATCAACAAACTACGATAAATTATCTAAAAAAGGAAACGTGATTAAGAAATAAGTACCGTTATAAGTTGAATCGATGTATCGATTGAGAAATTATTTTTGAAAACAAAAAAAAAAGAAAACTAACAATTCTTCCACATTTTTAATTATTCTGTTTTTTTGTTTTTTTTTCTATAGATCATTATAATCAACAAAGCGAGGTATCTACGATCACGCTATTATTCAAATCGTTTTTTTATATCGTAATAAATAATTTCTCTAAAGAAAAAAAAAAAAAAGAAAACAATACAAAATATAATTATAATGAAGATTAATGATATTTGAATCGTATATACAGTAGTGAGTATAACTGTGTTCTCGAATTTAATTAAAAAAAAAAAAAAAAAAAACAAGAAAATATAATAATCATCATATCTTCAATGTCATCATCATAGCTGCATACACGAGTCTTAAAAAAAGATAATAACTATTTAATAGAAACACACGTGAGACTGATTAATCGAATAATAATTTATTATTCGTATTGTATTTATACGATCTACATACTAATAATGAATACATATACATATACATATACATATACATAATGAAATTACTTCGAGCATGCGTATAAACGTTCCCGGGATATTATTTTCAAAATAAGAAAACCCGAAATGTAAATCATTTATTTAATTAATTAAGAATATAACCAACAAAAAATATATTCAATATACATATACGTATATTATTCAATGAGATACCTTAAACAAACAAAAATATAATATAAAATTAATAATTATTGTTTAACACAAACCTTTCGAGAATGAGAAAGAAAATAAGAAAGAAAGAAATACAAAAAAACAATTGGCAACACCAGCAAAGAAAAACACGAAGAAAACTGAAAGATCAACAAGGAAAAATAACTAAGTGAAGCTTTCGTACGATCCGGCAGGTGCAACACTGAACACGATGACGAGTGATTTGACTAGATTCAACACTACGCTTGAATAAATCCCACCTTCTCCTCCCCCACCTCCTCCTCCTCCTCCTCCTCCTACATCAAAGAGAGAAAAGAGTAGAAGTAGTAGTAGTAATGGTGGTGGTGTTGGTTGTTGTTGTGGTGGTGATGGTTGTGGTTGTAGTGATGGTGGTGAAGTGAAGTGAGGTGTAATAAAGGGTGGAGTAGGGAGGAGGAGGAGGAGAAGAAGAAGAAGAAGAAGAAGGGTTGGGGTGTGGACACAAAGAGAAAGAGAGAGAGAGAGAGAGAGAAACCTCGTGATGAACTTCCATAGGCCACCGCCTTCTCTAATAAGTTGTTTTCTCTTTTTCCAATACACATGATATACGATTATCGATCTTTGTTCACTCACACATTACATACGGACACATATATATAAGTATATGTACTTTTTTAAATGTTTGTGATATTAATCGTAAATCAAAAAATATAAGAAGTATTATTTAAACGATCACTTTTTAAATTTGATTTTTACACACTCGTACATGATATATATACTTATTGTGTGTGTGTGTGTGTGTATTTAGAAAGAAATAGATAATGAATTGATGAATTCAATCAATTGAGAAATAAACAAGTCAATTTTATTATAATGTGTGTATATATATGTGTGATAGTAATTATGACAATGGATTTTCTTTTTTTTTTTTTTTTTACTTACAATTAGTTAAATTTGATAATTACTGTAACACAAATTATGATCGATTTCTACTTATTTTCTATGATAATACGTGAAATATACTATCGTTGAAAAATTGTTCCCATTCTACATGTTTCAAAGATAAGCTTTTACGA